ATTAGTTTCCTAGGGCTTCTAGAAAACAAATTCATATGAGCTTGGTGGCTCATATCAGCATAGATTTATGATTTTATTGCTTTGGAAACCAGAAGTCTGAAGTCAAGGTGTTGGCAGGGCCATGCTCCCCCTGAAGTTTCTAGAGGAGGCTCCTTCCTTGTCTCTTCAATCTTCTAGTTTATCCCAGAAACTCTTAACTTCCTTGACTACTTCACTCTTATCTACAACCCTGGTCACATTGCTTCCTCCTGTTTGTATGTCTCCATGTCTTCTTTACCTTATGTATCTCATAAGGGTACCTCTTAATGTACTTAAGGCACATGCAACTTATCCAGAATAACCTCCTCATCTCAAACTCCTTAATTTAATTATGCAGGCAAGAAATTTTTTCCAATTAAGTTCACGTTCATAGACTCTGGGATTTAGGAAAAGGATGTATCATTTTGAAGGTCACTAATCTATTCACTGTACTAGAGAGAGGAGAAAAAAATGGAGAATAGATGGATGTATGTCCTCCCCAGGGGAGATCTGTACACAACCTAAAGGAGAGTTAGACCCAAAAAACACAGGCCACCAGGACACATTCCTTTCTCATCCCTCAGGTTTGACTCTAATGAAAGAATCAGCCTGTGGAGGTACCATTTAAAGAGCTGCATAAAATCACCTCTCAGACAAAACAATCAAGGTCTTAATTGACCTCTTTGTTGAACTTGTTTCTTCTAAGAATACTTCACACAAGTGCTTGTTTTTCTGGTTTAAGACCATCGATCCTAATTTGCCCACACTCTGATCACTTGAAATAATTCCTTTCCTTACTCCTTACCTATTTCTAGCATTTATGTTCAGTTATCCTACCCCCCACCCACTGTCATCATTGCTGTAGGCTGGATATATGAAGTTCTTTGAATAATCTTTCTCTGTAGGTCATATCCTCTAATCCTTTTTATCATTTTTGGATCCCCTCCAATTTATCAATGTCTCCTTCTAAAACAAGCAGCCAAAGTGCTACCAGAAGTGTTGTGCATCTTGTTTTTAAACAGAGAGATAACAGATACTCACAAAGAAGTCAGGGGATTTTCAGAAACACATTCTGGAATTAAATCACATGTATTAAGCCAACCTTTCCCAGTGCTTTATGCTCTTCTCCACTCCTTCAGCACTGCATTAATTTCTCCAATCATCAGGGGAAAGGGATAAAACAGACAGTTATGGGTGGATCAGTTACTTCTAAAAATAATAGTAGCTGCCATTTATCCAATGTTCACCACATGTCACAATGGGTCCTTTGCATGTAGCTATTACCTCATATGATCTTGTCTTTTTTCAGTTGCACAGGTGAGAGAACCTAGGCTGAGAGAAAGTAAGAACTTTGTGGATATATATACAGTGTTAGGTGACTTCCCTGGGGCTAAGTGGTAGAGAATCTGCCTGCAATTCAGGAGCCCCAGGAGATGTGGGTTCAATCCCAGGGTCAGGAAGATCCCCTGGAGGAAGGCATGGCAACTCACACCAGTATTCATGCCTGAAGAATCTCATGGACAGAGGGGACTGACAGGCTATAGTCCATGGGGTCCCAGAGTCAGACATGACTGAAGAGACTTTGCAGGCAGGCATAGACACAGTGTTAAATCTTTATGCAGGGATTCACTCCCAACTTTGGTTCCAGACTAGATCACATTTTTAAACCACTAAGGAAACACTAAGAATACTACTTCATTTAAAGGATAGTTCATTAAATATTCAGTTTTCTGGCTGCATTAAGCTATTTTATTCTCTCCAAAATGATTTGCTTGTCTAGATTTGGCCTTTGAATCAAGACTAACCTTTCTAAAGGGTCATTACCTTAAAAGGTCATTTAATCTATACCCATGCCTTGGGGGTGCCATTCAGGAAGGTAATTCCTCAATGTCAATAAAGCATTCTCTTTGCAACTTTAACTCTGTTTCTTTTCAAAACTCTTTTACATGAGTTGGAAGCAAATCTGCTAACAATGGTTTCAATAAAGTCAATACATACACATCAGTCAGCTAGTCTACCCAATCCTGATCTGGGTTCTACAAGTTTTACAAGGGAAAAATTGTATATACTTATATATATATATAAAGTTATAGATATATATATATAAGTTATAGATATATAACTTTTGTTAAGTAAATAGGTCTTACAGAAGATAAGGCTTGAGAAATAATTAATGGGAAATTCTCAAAATGGTCGATGAATCAGGGTGACACTTTATGGCATAAACTGGGGATTTGTATACCTGTTTAACAAGAAATACTTCAGAGGTTTAAAAATTGCATTCATAATCCCATCCCAGGCCAATTGGATCAGATTCTGGAACTTGGTAGTTAAAAAAAAGTTTCAAATACTTACTATTATCAGTCAGATTTGTGACTATAGACTACTGGCAGAATACAAACTCAAAGAAAAGATACTAACATTGGTAATAATAAGATTGATATATTACTGCTATTTAGTGTTTTCCAGTTTTCAAAGTAATTTTCCACCAACTATTTCATTTGACCTTTGCAATTAACCAAAATGTTGTTTTATAGATGAGAGTCAAGTAGCATATGATAACACTGCAGCTCGAGGTACTAAATCCCTATTCAGGCCCTACCCCAAGTCACAACGGTATTAACTGACAATGCTGGGCTATAGCCCAAGCTTCTAAATAGCTACTCTAGTCCTTCCTAGTCAGAGAAGCTGGTAGCTTTAATCAAAGAAAGATGAAGCTAGTAAGAAAAGAATCCTGTTTGGGAAGAAATAAAGAAAACTGAATCAGACTCTAGTCCTGGTTCTCATGTACTACATGGTCTTCAACAACTCATCTTATCTTTCCAAGCCTTACACTCTTAATGAACATAGGTTCTAGACACATAACCCTTGGCCAAACAATGGTTCTACCACAATAGTTGAGTTACCATAGAGTAGTTACTTAATCTTCCTCTGCCTTAGAGTTCTTACCTGAACAATGTTATTGTAAACATTAAATGTGCAGATATATGTCATATATATATATATATATATATATATATATATAAAAACACAAATACACACGGAACTATATATATACATATGAAGAGAGAGAAACGAAGAAAAGGATTGGGGGAAGGGAGAGGGAGAATACTAGAACAGTTTCTATGAAGTACTGAATATCTCATTCAGTATTCAGTTCATTTGCTCAGTCGTGTCCAACTCTTTGTGACCCCATAGACTGAAGCACGCCAGACTTCCCTGTCCATCACCAACTCCTGCCCTATGCAAACTCCTGTCCATCGAGTTGGGGATGCCATTTTGCCATCTTGTCCTCTGTCATCCCCTTCTCCTCCTGCCTTCAATCATTCCCAGCATCAGGGTCTTTTCCAGTGAGTCAGTTCTTCGCATCAGGTGGCCAAAGTACTGGAGTTTCAGCTTCAGCATCAGTCCTTCAAATGAATATTCAGGGCTGATTTCCTTTAGGATTGACTGATTGGATCTCCTTGCAGGCCAAGGGACTCTCAAGTGTCTTCTCCAACACCACAGTTCAAAAGCATCAATTCTTTGGTGCTCAGCTTTCTTTATAGTCCAGCTCTCATATCATACATCATTTCAATTCAGCCGCTCAGTCATGTCCGACTCTTTGCGACCCCATGAATCACAGCACACCAGGCCTTCCTGTCCATCACCAACTCCCGGAGTTTACTCAAACTCATGTCCATCGATCGGTGATGCCATCCAGCCATCTCATCCTCTGTCATCCCCTTCTCCTCCTGCCCCCAATCCCTACCAGCATCAGGGTTTTTTCCAATGAGTCAACACTTCGCATGAGGTGGCCAAAGTATTGGAGCTTCAGCTTCAACATCGGTCCTTCCAATGAACACCCAGGACTGATCTTTAGGATGGACTGGTTGGATCTCCTTGCAGTCCAAGGGACTCTCAAGAGTATTCTCCAGCACTACAGTTCAAAAGCATCAATTTTTCAGCACTCAGCTTTTTTCACAGTCCAACTCTCACATCCATACATGACCACTGGAAAAACCATAGCCTTGACGAGATGGACCTTTGTTGGCAAAGTAATGTCTCTGCGTTTTAATATGCTGTCTAGGTTGGTCATAACTGTCCTTCCAAGGAGCAAGCATCTTTTAATTTCATTGCTGCAGTCACCATCTGCAGTGATTTTGGAGCCTAAAAAAATAAAGTGTGACACTGTTTCCACTGTCTCCCCATCTATTTCCCATGAGGTAATTGGACCAGATGCCATGATCTTAGTTTTCTGAAAGTTAAGCTTTAAGTGAACTTTTTCACTTTCCTCTTTCACTTTCATCAAGAGGCTTTTTAGTTACTCTTCACTTTCTGCCATAAGGGTGGTGTCATCTGCATATCTGGGGTTATTGATATTTCTCCCGGCAAGCTTGATTCTAGATTGTTCTTCGTCCAGCCCAGCATTTCTCATGATGTACTCTGCATAGAAGTTAAATAAGCAGGGTGGCAATATACAGCCTTGATGTACTCCTATTCCTATTTGGAACCAGTCTGTTGGCCCATGTCCAGTTCTAACTGTTGATTCTTGACCTGCATACAGGTTTCTCAACAGGCAGGTCAAGTGGTCTGGTATTCCCATCTCCTTCAGAATTTTCCACAGTTTATTGTGATCCATACAGTCAAAGGCTTTGGCATAGTCAATAAAGCAGAAATAGATGTTTTTCTGGAACTCTCTTGCTTTTTCGATGAGCCAGCGGATGTTGGCAATTTGATCTCTGGTTCCTCTGCCTTTTCTAAAACCAGCTTGAACATCTGGAAGTTCATGGTTCACGTATTGCTGAAGCCTGGCTTGGAGAATTTTGAGCATTACTTTACTAGCATGTGAGATGAGTGCAATTGTGCAGTAGTTTGAGCATTCTTTGGCATTGCCTTTATTTGGGATTGGAATGAAAACTGACCTTTTCCAGTTCTGTGGCCACTGCTGAGTTTTCCAAATTTGCTGACATATCAAGTGCAGCACTTTCAAGAAATACCTAGTATATAAACCTTTTTGAACTAGAAAATGAAGAGGATCATAATATACCCAATATTTATTGTCTTCTCTGTGCCAGTAAGCATTAAGCTGATCCTAATCAACCCAGCAATCCTACAGGGTTGATATTATTATCCCCAATTTTAACTCAAGTGTGCTGTGCCCCAGTCTAAACAGACTGGTAATGTAGGCAAAACAGACATTTGTGAGATACATATATATATATATATATATATATATATATATATTTGCTATAATATTGCCAGGTAAAATGAAAAGTATTTTAAGTACCTTGGGATGAGCTAGTAGCAAGTCGGCAGCCTCCTCAAAATATTCCAGGTCCACCTCCTCCAGCTGATTGGGCAGGTCATCATAGGCAAAATATGCTAAAGCCAGCACTGCAAAGCCACGGGCAGCCAAAAGACTGGCCCGATATTCAACAAGACCCCCGATGCCCCCTAACAAATCAAGGAGTCCTGGGAATGGGCCTTCCCCTAAGAGCAGCAAAAAGAGAAGAAAATGAGATCAGAAAGAGTGTCAGAAGGGCTGAGTAGATAACAGCAAAAGTACAAGCTGAGCAGAATGAATTTCACTTTGATACACAACAAAACAGCTTGTTACTTTTAAAAGATTGTGGGAAATCCTAGTTCAACAACTAGATGCCTTTGTTTTTGCTTTTATCCCCACCAGCCGTGTTTTCTAGGTCCCCCGAGATGAGTCTCACCTGGAGGCAGGAACAGGGCTCCTCTCACTCGACCTTCTCGGATGGGCACCCGCTCCAGGTCAGGGCTGGAGAACCAGCGCTGCAGCACCTGGCTGGCCTTGGGCTGAACGTCGCCTACCTTGTGTATGTAAACTGAGTCATATAGATCCAGAGTGATCCAGAAGGGTGTGTTCATCACATCCCTCTTAATTAGCCTGGCAAAAGGCCTCTCGGATTGCAGGGACCAGATAAGGCCCATCGGATGGACCCCCATGTAGTGGCCCCCCACGGCAGGATCTCGCTTCAGGTCCAGTTCCCCAGCCTCGTTAGCCCTGTAGAAAGCTCGGGACCGGTATAGATTCCCCTTGTCATCCTTCATGGTTGCTATGAGGGTCACCATCTGCAGTGGGGGCAGGCCTGTTGCTTGGATGTGCACAGGCTCATCCGCCAGGGCACTTGCCGGAGTGACTGTCAGCTGGAACATTGGCAACAGGCAAAGGGATCAAGTGGTGTTTCCTGCAGTGGGAGAGAAGACTTTTGAGTTGGAGATTTTGGTTCCAAGGAAGAGGCTCAGACAAGGCTTACACTGACCCAGACTTCTGGAGATTAGTACAAAATACACAGAACATTTGGAGGAGGGAAAAATAAAGTGTGCAGAGCATACTCATTATTCTCATTTTACATATGAGGAAGGTTAAGTGGCATGCCCAAGTGTAAATAATTAATAGGAGAACTGGAAATTCAAGCTAGGTCTTAACACTACAGCCTCCTGTCTTAGCCGTTACGGCACTGAAGGAAATCTTAGTTTTGTGGTTTTGAGTAAATTGAGCTTCAGTTCTTCAGCTGAGGTCATTCCCAGGTGACGTGTTTCACAGGTGTTTGTTAGACTCCAAGGGGTAAAGCATGATTAAGGGTTTCCTGGAAGGATCAGTGCTGCTTTTCTTTTCTTTCTTTATTTTTTTTTTTCAGTGCTGCTTTTCAATTCCCATATCTACATAAACAAGAAATATGTTAGAGTATTATTTGTTTTTCACTTTTTCAAATTTCCAATCCCTCTCTGCCATTGTAAGACCAACCACCAGCTCTTTTCAGAGTTCCCATTATTTGTTCTTTTTCAGGGAAAATAAAATTTCGTGATCTGCTTCTATGGCTTTCCAGTGGAGTGGTAAATATCAAATGTTGTTTGTAGCAAAGAGAATGAAATATACATTTGGTCAGCTATTTCATACTCTGTCCTTTTATGAGCAAAATTGGGGTATTCTCCTCCCTCACTCTCTTCCTTCTTTCTCTCCTTGCTTATATACCTCATTCACAAAGGATTTGAACCTGTTTATAGGTAACAGAGACATAATAAAATAAAAATAGGATCTGGGAAAATATGAACTAGAATCAGAAACACTGAATGAATGACAACCAAAGGGAAAAAGGCACCTGTCAGTCGTGTTGTTCTAATTATTCTCAAAGAAAGGGTTACCAGTTTATCAACGGAAAGGAAAAAGTGAGGCCTTTCCAATATCTTCCTAAAAGAAATTTCTCACATGAGACTTTGATATAGATATGCATCATTTTCCAACAATATCTTCAGACAAATTGTAGTAATAGGTGTCCCCTCAGAAAGTTTGATCCTCTAAGGGATCCTTGATTTTATTTTATGGAGGAATGCAAAGTGAGGGCTTTAGGCTTTATATTTGTGACCAGAAAAGATTCTGGAGAAAGTAAACAGGGTCTGGCAGTGCAGGGGCGGGAGCGGGGTCTTAATGCTCAGTTTTTCACTGTTGAAAGGGGATCTTCAGAGGAAAGAGAGGGTCAAGGGAAAAAAATGCATTTTGCATTCCTTTTACGAAAAAGTGATTTCCTGGAAAGTCCCTGGTGGTTCAGTGGTTAGAACTCCACTCTCTCAATGCCAAAGGTCTGGGTTCCATCCCTGGTTGGGGAACTAAAATTCCACAAACTTCTCAGCACAGCCAAAAATTTAAAAAGCAAAACAATTTTTAAAAGAAAATAATTTTCCGCAAAGGACACACTCCCTCTCACCTGTTTCCCCATCAACAACCAGTATTACTGACCATTTGAAAACTCATGATCAATAGAATAATTTGGAATAAATAGAAAGCTTGTGAATGTTTTCCTTTAATACCAGCAGAGTTCTACACAGAAGGAGGTTGCATCAATTCAAACCTCCTTTCAGTCATCTTAGGGAGACAGGACATGTAATATGAATAAGAACACCCCATATCCTGTGTGACATTTCAGGGCTGCCTTGGTATTTTCTGATCTGGTCCTTCCTATAACTCTTTGTATCTGTTATTTCTTTCTTCCCAAAAAAGAAATCATTAAGAAGGGGTACTTGAGAGCCTTATTCCACACATTCTTCTTCCTTCTCAAAACTTCCGTATAATAGTGACTCACTACAGATTTTATTTTCAAATAGAATCATTTGAATTACTTAACATAACTACTCTCCTGCATGCATTCTGCATCTGGTCTCATTCTCCCAGGTGGATTGCAAACTCAAGGGTAGCAACCATGTGTTAAAACTTTAGGAAATCTTACTGATACTCATATAGTAAATTATATATTGTACATACTTCAGAGTTATGAAATTCATAATGGGAGCAAGAAAAAAAAATAGCACCAAACAAGTAATGAAGATACTCTACTTATATAGTGCTTTTGTAATGTAAAATATTAGAATTTCTTTACAAGTCATGGTCTCTCTTTATCTGAGAATTGCCCCCTAAGCCCAGAGATGGACAATCCATAGCTATGTTTATACAATATGACCTCCTTCCTGGGGGCTGTTGCTGACTGGATCAGGACTGGTCACCTGATTCAAGATATGCCTGGAATGTTCCTCCCTTGCCAATTTGGAATTGGGACTCAGAGCTCACCAGTCCCTTTATCAAGATAAAGACTAAAGGTGAAGCAGAGGTAGCAAAGTTGGGTACCAACTTTGGTAGCAGAGTTGACTTGCGTGGCCTTGCCTTTGACATCCTGAAATTTTGCACCCAAGGTGCCCTCTTACCTCACGCTAGTCCTGTCCCTGGACTCTTTCTGTGTGAGTGTATCCATAAAGTGCAGACACTGCACCCAGATTATCACAGAAAACCAGCCTTGGGGTAGAGTATGGACATTTGAGGAAAGAGAGACAGAGACAGAAATTAGTTTGCTCCTATCCTGAGAAGCCCCTGAAGAAAGAAGGTCTGCAATTACAGAAATAAGCGTCAGAGGAAAGAGAGATGCCAGAAGATAGGTTTCAGAAGATTTCAGTCTTTGAAAGGAATCTTTCTTAGAATTTTGTTTTGGGGTCTCAGGACTTAGCTGACTAGGCTTACTGTTTTATCTCCTAGTTTTTTTGGAGCTCCTGTTAAATGTGTAAAGTCATTGATTCTGAATTGTCAGAAATTCCCTGTAATGGTCCTTAGTATTCTAGGTCTAGATTTTGCCATTTACACCAAGGTATATGCAAGGAATTAGATTATAATGATAGTTCCCGTAAGAAGTAGGAATTCTCCCAAGAACACATGAAATAGAGAGAGAGAGAGATCACTCGGTAAGTCAACAATGTGTGCTTGTGAATGGTGTCTCTGATTTCTTGGCCACACACAGAATAGGAAGTAGCCGCGTGATCAGCAATCCCACAGTCACTGCCTTGTGGGCTAAACAAAGTCGCCTTTCACAGGCTGATGAGGCAGATCTCGGGAAGATCTGGTAGGGATCCAAGGCAAACTTTGACAGATTTCCTTTGCAGAACTTAGTTGTAAACCTCTTGGACCTCAGATTAATCAAACCTCTGTGTCATCTGTTCTTTATATAACACTCTCTTATAAATTCAAGAAACAAGAAAAATCCAAGATTTAAATATTGGGTTGGCAAAAAAGTTTATTTGGGTTTTCCTTAATATCTTACAGAAAACCCAGAATGAAAATTTTGGTCCACCCAATACATACACATGTATACACACACACACACACACACACACACACACTTACAAAAGAAGATTTGGGATTCTCAAATCTGGGGTTCTGAGGAACTCTGAGGTTCTGCAAAATGTCATTAGGGTTTCCACAAGAGCTCTTAATTGGAAAAAAAGAGAAACAGTTGGTTGTCTTTTTTTCCATTTATTTATTAGTTGGAGGCTAATTACTTTACAATATTGTAGTGGTTTTTGCCATACATTGACATGAATCAGCCATGGATTTACATGTGTTTTTGAACTCTAAGTATGAGGTGAAGGACGGGGCTAAGCAGTTCCATTCCTGGTTGTTTAGCCTCATAGGGTACTGTGTGAAAGGACCATAGCCAAAGACCATTCTCAGTTTGAGATGCAATTAGCGGGGGCTTGTGAAGGCTAGTGAGCTCAATGTTTAGTGGAGAGGAGGACACTGTGCTGCTGAGTGCCTCTCCTCCTTGAATTACCTCTTCCAAACCCCACTCTGCTCTGTGGACTGAGATAAAGAAGAAAACAAAGTCTATTGGTGTAATATAGAGGGAAATTTGCTGGTAATACAAGTGGTCCTGTTTCACTGGGCATGATCTTTAACAACTAAAAAACGCAGCAGTGACTCCAGGAAAGGGGAAAAGACAAACCGAATATCACAATTATTTGACAAGTAATGGGGCTGGTTATTTTAAGTGGCCTTTGGAATTCAATTCTCCCCTCATTTCCCTTTTTTCTGTAATAGGAAACAATTACTGAGCACTTAGTAAAGGCTTGTCACTGGGTAGTAGGAATCTGCATAGTAAAGCCTTTTCACTTTTCAAGACCCTTTTATGTTTATTATTTCTCTTGACCCTCACAAAAAAATCTATGGGAATAAAAAAAAATCATTATTATCCTTAAACTGCAAATTAGAAAATTGAGCTCAGCTAGTTAAATGACTTACCCAAACTTGCCTATGTTGTTAATGGTGAAGTAAGAATTTTAACCAGTGCCATCCTTCCCTACTTACACACCTTACTTATCTTCCCCAAATGAGGATAGACACATGAAAGTTCATTCTTTTCCGGGCCCCTCCCTCTTGCTTTTCTTTCCTACTTCTTTCTTGATTTTAACTTCATCTCTTCCTTTCCCCAACTCTGAAGACTTATGTTAAATATTAATATATATCCTGGTATACCCTCTTTCTTGATTATACCTTTATCTTTCCTGTTCCTTAATTCTAAAGCCCTTTGGTTAAATATTAATATATACCATGATGTGGCAGAACTAGTAATGGAACAGTAGAATTAAACTTTATAGTCCACAAACCCACATATGCAGGAAATGTAAATTTTTTCTATTTTTCTAGATTCAGAGTAATTTATATTCCCGACCCAGGTATCAAACCCAGGTTTCCAGCATTGCAGACAGATTCTTTACTGTCTGAACCAATGCAGGCCCAATGGGTGGTGCTAGTGGTAGAGAACCTGCCTGCCAATGCAGGAGACTCAAAGAGGTGTGGATTCGATCCCTGAGTTAGGAAGATACCCTGGAGTAGGAAATGAAAACCCACTCCAGTATTCTTGCCTGGAATGTTCCATGGACAGAGGAGCCTGGCAGGCTGTTGTCCATGGGGTCGCAAAGAGTTGGACATGACTGAGTGACTGAGAATGCTCGATGATGAGCTTACTTGATGATGCATTCTTCTAAACCCATTTTACAATGGATGCCAAGGGTTCCAAATTCATATACCTATTGGGGTCAGACAGGTAATATAAATTTATAGATAAAGACCAGAGATGAACAAAATATAAGACTGTAGTGAACCTAAGACTACCAGCCCATCTATAGGCACTCAAATGTATTATATTAAAAAAAAAAAAATACATGCATACAAAACCACCCAACAACCACCAAAGAAACACAAATCAATCCAAGGTGTGGACCAAATGAAACACACCCATTTGTGACTTATGGAATTCAGGTCATCCATTAGGATATTGCACCATAAAGGCCAAGTAAAGATCTTTGTTTTCTCTTCCTGGTGTACTGTCCTTTTCTGAGGCAAAAAGTATCAACTGGCCTCCCTCTGGAGGAAGAAGGAAAACAAGGTAAAATAGAAATACCAAAATATGAGTGACATATCTCAGAGATAGTGTGAAGATAGAACAGAAGACCAGGTGAATTTTTATTGGCTACTTAAGATGCAAAATTCCTCAAAATTCAATGGCACAAAATTTCCACATTTCCTCACTTCCTTGCAGCAGAAGGCAGGACCCTGTATACTAGCAACTGTCAAAGAAACCAAACGTAGAAAGCAACCGGAGAGCAGGAAACAAGAACTCAGCTGCCTCACGTGTGGTGGTAGAGAGGGAGCCCTCAGCAAAATGGAAGCAACCTGATAGGGTCCGAAAGCTGAAACCCACGTTGCTAAGCAGGTTTCACCGCGCCCCCCACCCCCCAGAGTCCCAGGGTGAAGGGTGGGGATCAAGCCTGCACTATTCAAGACCTTGACCTGTTAGAGGAAGGGCAGTCAAGAACTGGCAGGACATCAACACATCAGAAGCAGGAAGCAAAGAGTAAAAGAGAGCAAAGTTCCCATGGAACTTAAAATTACCATCACTAATCAAGAAACAAAGATTCCATTCCCTTTAGAAGCCTGTGGCTTTTCTTTCTTCACCCCAGCACTTCTTCCTCCTAATAAATCCCAGAAAACTATTCCTTGAGTCAAGAAACATCTCTCCGGTAGTCACATTAGGCTGGATCTTGACTTTTGTAGGCAAGTGTGCATTTTGCCTCCAAAGCAAAAGTGAAAGTGTTAGTTGATCAGCTATGTCCCGCTCTTTGTGACCTCATGGACTATATAGCCCACCAGGCTCCTCTGTCCATGAGATTCTCCAGGCAAGAATAGCAAAGTGGGTTTCCATTCCCCTCTCCACGGTATCTTTCCAACCCAGAGATTGAACCTGGGTCTTCTGCATTGCAAGCAGATTCTTTACCGTCTGAGCCACCAGGAAAGCCCTTTTGCCTCCAAGATAGTCTCCTAAACAGTCTTCCAGGTAGCTTGATGTAGCTAGCATCAATCTGCATTTGAACAATAAACCACCTGGGATAGTAATTGCTGGTTTTTCAGAGAACTGAGCTACCCACTGAAGTGAACAAAATACACACAGCAAGATGCAAACAGCCTTCCCGGGTGCCCTGTGGCTGAAATCAGAAAGAAGATCTTTTCTACTTTACTCACCCTGAATTCAGCTGTAGGGAGCAGTCCGGAGTGAGGTGCCTTACTGAGCCAGCGAAGAGCACTAGACACTTGCCTGTTGCTTGCTAATTTAGATCCTTCAAAATACCTCAGCCTACTGGTCAAAGTTGAAACTATCTCCATAGAAACAATCAGCTGACTTCTTTTTTTTTTTTTAAGTTCTCAGGGGCAGGGTTATCAGCACATGCTGCCACAGGCTCTGGGCAAAGACTCAGTTGAGCTGGCGTGCCTTTCAATCCAAGTGTTTCATAGTGGAGTCTTTCATTTCGTCACATAGGTCTGGTTTCTATGCCTCTTCCCTGAACTTCTCTCAACTCCTAGCTCTCTCCTCCTTTGCTTCAATTCCTTCCCTATCTCCTCCCCTAAGTCAGTAGTCTCTTAGGCAGCACGTTTTTGTTGGTTTTGGAAATGATGAGTCCCAAACATCCATCTTCAGAGTGGTGTGGTTTTCAGACTCATCTGGAGAGTCAGTTAAACACAGACTCAGGGCCCTTTACCTGGAGATTCTGACTTGATGGATTTTGGTTAAGTTTCTGGGATCTGTACTTTTAACAACAGATTCTAAAACATAGGTTCTAAAACAACAGATTCTTCGGGCCTGGTGCACTGGGAAGACCCAGAGGGATCGGGTGGAGAGGGAGGTGGGAGGGGGGACTGGGATGGGGAATACATGTAAATCCATGGCTAATTAATTTCAGTGTATGACAAAAACTACTGTAATGATGTAAAGTAATTAGCCTCCAACTAATAAAAATAAATGGAAAAAAAAANACCAAGAACACTCCAGGGAATGCAAAGCATCCAAGGTGGAGATTTTCCCAGCTTTTTTCAAATAGAAATTAGCAAAGCAAAGGAAAACAAAGTGACCTAAAAATTACGAAAACCAAACCAAACCAGAAGGACCTGTTATTTCTGAGGCAGATGCTACAGAGTGTCTTAGAGGCCTGATAACAGTCACGAGTTTCAATGGTGGCCATGAGCTGTAAGATAAGGGGAATAAAAAGATTGCTGACTTTTAAAAAGGGGGACATTGGAAACTTCAGTTTGGGTCTGACAATAGGAAGCATATTGATAAAAAGAACCACAAATGTGATCTTAGACATCTTAGCTATGTCTTAAACTTATGCTTTATTATATTAAATTTGCCTTTGACTTCATATACTTATACCTTAACTGTGTTGAAGTATCTTAAAGGTATTGCAGAAGTTAGCAGAAATAGTTGACCGCAATAACAAGGAAAAACAAACAAGCATCAGTGACTTAACACATACTGCCAGTCACACAAAGAGCAACAGGGAGATTGATCTGCTCGATCGTGCATAGATGCAGTCTGATGGGGGCACTGTTGTTTTATTGTTGCTGTAGCTGGACCAAGAAGAAGAGGAAGAAAAAAACTGGAGATTCTTGTGGTAGAGCTTTTCATGGCTCCAACCCAGAAATGACTCCAATCACTTCTAATATTTCATTGGTTGAAACTAGTCACATGACCCCAACCAACTGCAAGAGGGCAGGAAATTGATGGCACAGATGAAGTGTGCTGAGCACGACCCTCTACCACAAGCATCATGTTTCATCAGTATCTTACATATTTGTCTTTTTTTCCCTATTTGGGTTCGTCAAAAAGTTTGTTGGGGTCTTTCTGAAAGATACCATGGAAAAACTGGAAAGAACTTTTTGGCCAAACCAATAGATACACACACAAATGTGCATAGTTAAGATACACATATAAATATATTCACACATACAGACACATATTAAAGTAATGAGGAAATATAGTCTTCTTTGTATTTTAAAGTTCGAGCATTCCTAAAAATGCACCTTTGTACAAAGTCAGGGACTTTCTGGGGACACATTTTGTTTTAGTCTGTTTCTCTGATGTGTGTCATTTGGCACAATATGAATTTATTTCAAAAGTTCCACAATTCTTGTGATACATTTTAAGCTGAAGAAAATATTTTAAAAATAATCAGGTGCTATATTTAGATTTCAAAAGCATTTCTCAAAATATTTTCTTGTAGTTAACATCTTTGTGTAGAAAGAGGAACACCTGACTTTAAAAATTAAGCCACAGTTAAGAGAGTTTGACCTGGCCTATTTTCTATGTGATAAAGCTCACTACCAACATAACACACTTTAACATTTCTAAGGGTTTAAATACAGCAGCTGAGCGCTGAAGAATTGATACTTTTGAACTGTGGTGTTGGAGAAGACTCTTGAGAGTCCCTTGGACTGCAAGGAGATCCAACCAGTCCATCCTAAAGGAATATTCATTGGAAGGACTGATGCTGAAGCTGAAACTCCAATACTTTGGCCACCTGATGTGAAGAGCTGACTCATTGGAAAAGACACTGATACTGGGAATAATCAAAGGCAGGAGGAAAAGGGGACAACAGAGGATGAGATGGTTGGATGGCATCACTGACTCTATGGACATGAGTTTGAGTAAGCTCCAGGAGTTGGTGATCGGACATAACTGGGCGACTAAACTGAACTGAACTGAACATTTCTTCTAAGGAATTCTTGCCCACAGCAGTAGATATAATGGTCATCTGAATTAAATTCATCCATTTTAGTTCACTGATTCCTAAGATATCAGTGTTCAATCATGCCATCTGCTTGACCATGTCCAGTTTACACTGACTCATGAACCTAACATTCCAGGTTCCTGTGCAATATTGTTCTTTACAACATGGTACTTTCCTTTCACCACCAGACACATCCAGAACTGAGCATTCTTTCCATTTTAGCCCAACCACTTCATTCTTTCTGGAGCTATTAGTAGTTGCCCTGCGCTGTTCCCAGTAGTTTATTGGACACCTTCTGACTTTGGGGGCTCATCTTCTGGTATCATATCTTTTTGCCTTTTCATATTGTTTATGGGGTTCTTGAGGCAAGAATCCTGGAGTGGTTTGCCATTCCCTCCTTCACTGGACCACATTTTTTCAGAACTCTCCACTATGACCCATCTGTCTTGGTTGGCCCTACATGGCATGACTCATAGCTTCCATGAGTTATACAAGCCCCTTCACCACCACATGGCTATGATCCATGCAGTGGACCAGAGACTGAGGTATTGCAGGTCTGGAGATGGATAGTGCTGATGGCAGCACAACAGGGTGAAAGTGCTTAAAGCCACTTTTTATTTCGGCTTTTTTTCTTTTAAAATTGTTTAAATTGGCAATTTTTTTTTTTATCTATTTTCCACAATAAGAAAAAAGCCAGGATCTTCTATAAAGTTTTATTCATGTAATTTAAAAAATTAAATAAAATTAATATGGAATTAACTTCTGTTTTAACTCTAGCAACATTAATATGTCAGAATTGGAGGGATTTTTTTGTTTTACTGTATTTTTTAGATTTTATCATATAGTTTAATTTAGTCTTAAATGTTTCTAGTTCTTCTGATATGTAAAATGCCAAATATATGTATATGTGTATATATATGTGTATATATATATATATATATATACACATATGAAAGTAGAAGTGAAAGTCACTCAGTCATGTCCGACTGTTTGCGACCACATGAACTATAGGAATTCTCCAGGCCAGAATACTGGAGTGGGGAGCCATTCTCTTTTCCACAGGAACTTCTCAACCCGGGGATTGATCCTAGGTCTCCTGCATTGCAGGAGAACTCTTTGCCAACTGAGCCACCAGGGAAACCCTTTATATTTATATACACATACATACATATATATGAAGAACTTGTTTGGATTGAAAATATCTTCTATAGTATAGACAAGATGCAATATACTAAATATTAATAAAAATCCAGGATGTATTTAAAAAATTACCAGGAAAAATGTAATACCCAGGATAGAGCAACTAGATTTTAAAAAGAGATAATTTCTGTCCTAAGTAAACTACTGTAGGCAAGAAGGAAAACTTTTGTATTCTTTTTATGAAATAAGTACAAAATTGACATAATACTTGATCCCCAAAAAGAACCCACAAAAAAAAAAAAATGTTTGATCTTATTTAATGTTAGAATTGGGGTTAGATCTTAGTTCCTCACCAGGGAGCGAACCTGCATCTTCTGAAGTAAAAGCATAGAGTCTCAACCACAGGACCACGAGGAAAGTTCCTAGAGAGGTACTCTGACTGGCCAGGTCTGGGAAATGTGAAAACTTCTATGAGTGAAAGAGGAAGGAGGCTAACAGCCCCACTCATACTGAATGGCATGTTTTTACTCTAAACAGAAGGTATCAAAAGCCAAGAAAATAAAGAGGTTAGGCAGATAAAACTGAAGTGTCCTCATGTTACTTTTATTATTCTATATTGGCTCCCCATCAAACCTAAAAAATGATTCAGAATACTTTCTTACTGATGCCGCTTCACCTTGATTATCCATCATGTAAAAATTATATGAAATCCGAATTTCAGTGTTCACAAATAAAACTTAGTTGGAGCGTGGATACAATCATTCATTGCATCCTATCTAAGGCTGCTTTTGTGCTATAGCAGCAGGACTGAATAATAGTGACAGAGACCTTATGGACTACAGAGTCAAAAATATTTACTACCTAGTACTTTGCTAGAAAGAGTCTTATTGTTGTTCAGTTGCTAAGTCATGTCCAATTCTGCAACCCCATGAACTGCAGCACACCAGGCTTCCCTGTCCTTCACTGTCTCTCCTGGAGTCTGCTTAAACTCATGTTCATTGATTCAGTGATGCCATCCAATGATGTCATCCTCTGTTGCCCCCTTCTCTGCTGGCCCCCAATCTGGAAGCACATAATCCACACCATCATAACCATCAAAACTACTTTCCGAAACTGAAATTCTGTGAATCTTAGATTGCTCCTCTTGAAAAATGCTATACATCTTTAGACACATAAAAATATTTTCTTTAGCTAGCTTTTGTTAAATTATTGATTATAGGCTGATTCAATGTTACCTCTATAACTGCTTCCATATTGTCTTAATATATTTTTTTACTCATGTCTAGTTTTCCAAACCAACAAAGTAACCATGAGCATATTTTTTCTTTCTTTTTTAAAATACTTATTTATTTATTTGGAAGCTCTGGAACTTACTTACAGCATGTGGGATCTTCAGTTTTCACTG